TCCCCTCTTTAAATGAGAGCCAATGGATTCACTGTAGATTTTTGTTTTATTGCCATCTCCTCCTCAAGGTTTTTACTCTCATCTCGCCTTCTCAATGAGGTCTACCCTGACTCCTATTTAATACTGCAACGTGGCCACTTCCCCAGCCCTAAAATCTTTTTTATCGTATTCAGACTTTTCTTCTGTCCATTCACTACCACCTTCTAACATGCCATACAATTGTAGTTTACTGTCAAATCATATAAGCCCCATGAGGGCAGGGATGTCACTGATGTACCCAAGATGCGTGGCACTTAGTATGTATGTGCTCAGTATTTACCTTTTGAATGAATGGTTGGATGCCGTTGTTGTCTACATTAAAAGCTACATGTTATTTCCAACCCCACGTATGTGGAGTGACATTGTGGGTTGCATTTCTCCAAAACTTGGGTGTTGTGAATCTGAGAGCTTTTGTCTAGAAGCCCACCCGCTACTACCTGTCTCTCATGCAGTGAGACTGAGATGCGGCTCTTGAAGCAGAGCGTGGTCACTCTTGCTTATAAATGTGTTTTCCTAAGGGGAATTTCGCTTGCCAATTTAAGGCAGCTATATAATTTAACTTTGGAGTCATTTCTCATTTGAGTCGTTTCTTGTTTGCCATCTGGCCATGTAATTACTTTTAAGTAAAACTATGTACAGGAGGAAAGCACAAATTGGAAATCTGTGATAATGTGGATGGTGAGATGATAATACGTGTGTGTTTTATTTTTTTTGCTTTGCTTTGCTTTTGCTGTTGTTCAAAAAATACAATTAAGGGAGAGGGGAACATTTGAGGAGGAATCATTGAGATCTTTCCCTAGAGGGAGCCCCTTATATAAATTTTCTTCTTTGAGAGTTTTTGTTATAAACTAAATGTTTTGAATTAGTGGATTATTGCATTTTTCCATTCATTTATAAGTCTGGCCCTAAGCTATGAAACAAGAGGTTTCCAAAGCTGTTCTGTCTCCAAAGCTGTTCTGCCATGAAAGGGACCTGGGCAGAGGTGTGGGCATCATTCTTTTCCTTGGTCCGTTTTCTTAAGTGTTTTCCAATCTGTATTATTTTCCTTTTTGTTCCCAGTCCCTTTAGCCTGGAAGTTATTTTCCTCGTGCCAGCCTAGGTGTATTATTATTTCTGAATCTTCCCTTTCACTTTGCTTCCCCAGTTCTTGGAGGTTAATTGCAAATGGACAAAGGAACCAGAACCCAGTACTGTATATTCAAGTTCAAGAGAAACCTAAATAATGTTTGTTTGGAATTACTGTCCTCCCTCATGGGTAGAGGCGGGTGTGTGTGTGTGTGTGTGTGTGTGTGTGTGTGTGTGTGTGTGTGTGATTTTTTAAACCAGGTGCTTAGATAATTAAATTTAAAATACAGATTTAAATTATTAGGGTACAATTGCAATGCTGATGATCAGTCACTGGCAACAAACAAACGAACAAATAAACTACTGGGTGAGAAGACAGGAGGTACTAATTTGCATGAAAATGCAACCAAGTCATCTCGTACAGCTCCGAGGAGATTCTGTTGTAAAGTTTTACTGCTTGTAAACGTTCCTTTTGGTGTGGGAGGCAGGGCCTGGGGGCGTGGTGGGGGAAACAATAGTTTGGCTCTCCAACCCCCCATCCCCAAATCAGTTCAAATGCCTGAATTAATCGGAGAGTCAAAGAATCAAAACAGACTCACTGTAAGTCTTGTGGGCTCCAGTAAACAGATCTGGATGTACCTAGTAGCCTGGAGAAAATGGGGAATACATTTGCTTCACCTTGGCTTGCGTAAAGGAAGATCTGCACTCTTTTCATTGAGAGGAGAAACTTCTGATCTGTTGGAGAGAAAGTGAATAAATGAGCACCGAGGCAGAAAGACTGATGTGGCTATCATGCAAATAAGAACTGTGATTGGCTTTCTCTTTCTTTCTGTACACTTGTCACTGCAGCTCTCAGCCTTAAAGATTAGGTTTCAGTGGGAACTTTTCAAGTTCAAGGACTGTTAATGGCTTGTAACTGCCTGACAATAAACTCAACCTCAACATTACATCAGCTCCACCGGCAGACGTCTAAGGATTTGAGACTGGAGGAAGAAAGTTAGAATCTGGAGCAGAAGGATACAGCTTACCACCTGCCTGATGGGCTGAGCTTTTAATGTGATTTAAATTTCTAAGTCCTATGTAGGCATCCTGGAAATGGTGGTCTTCATTAATGCAAAGATCAAGTCTTTAATTAAACTTTTTAAGAAAAAAAGTAAGTAATTTCTCCTCCCCTTCCCCCTTGATGGTGTGTGTGTGTGTGTGTGTGTGTGTGTGTGTGTGTGTGTGTGTGTGTTTTGTACTACTACATCTTTTTGAGTGATGGCATTAGAATGTGAAACAACATAATTAGCACAAGTTAAACTCCGTTCTCTACTAAGTTCAAATACCTCAGACTTTTATAACTCTAGGGCAGAATTATGTGATTTTAGCATGTCTTATTTATTTATGGTTGGGATTTTAGGTGAACCACTTCTTCTGTGCTTCTCAAAAGCCCTTTGAAAAAAAGTGGGGTATTTACCTTATGTCCTCCTTGATGTATGTTTTTTTGATTCTTTGGCTTACTGTGCAGGGAGGCTGTGTGTGATCTCTCATGTAATTTTGCTGGCGATGATCCTCTGAAACTCCCTGGAACTCTGTTATGTATTTCAGAGCTCTGGGACAAACTCTGTCTAGACTGATCAGTCACTGTAAAGTGCACAGAGTTTGTGGCATGGCCTCATTGTGTACTGACCATTGGTGTACTGTGTCTGTTTAATCCAGATCCTTCTTCATTCTCTGCAGAGTACAAAGTTTACAAATACATGGTTTTGTTTTTACATAGCTGTTGGCTTAATTTAGTTTAGCTTTTGGACCAGTGATTTAAACTAGATAAATGTGGATGGGTATGAGCACTGGTAAGAGAGACATTGGAGAAAACAACAAAGAACAGCCCTCTGGGCTCATTTTCTCCGGCTCGGTCGAAAGCTGTCTTTGGATGGACTGATTAAAATCTGCCCTGCAAGAATGAGATGCTCCAGAGAAGAGACGACTGTTCTTTCTTAGGAGCCATTTGGTAGCTGTACAGTGGGGCCGATGGTGTGATGGATTTGATTTGTAATTGGCAAATAGGAAGTTTCACTTTTCAATAGTTTACAGCTATGAAGTGTGGTAATTCGGTCTTCCAAATAAATGCACATCAGCACAAAACATTGCAATTAATCATGGCTACTCTTTGGGGGACATATGGTGAGTTCCGCCCTGTGCAAGCTTCTCAGGCACGTAAATAAGGGCTACATACATCCTCTCTTTGTGGATTTTATGTATTAAGATTGATAATTACATGCACCATGCAAAACATTTGTTCTACAAGAGGTTACCTGAAATACCAGGTGCCCAATTTACATGCTGCTTTTGTCAAACATTAAAAGCAGAAAGCACACAGACATTTCTGTTTTTAGCTTGATGTCTAGTTCGCAATGTTTATTTTCCCATTTAGCAACTTACGGAGAAGGTGGGATGATTTGAGAAGTGAATTATTTGGAGATGAGGCTTACAGAATTTAGTCACTGTAGAAAAGATGGGCTATGGGGGAGTGCTAACCTGTGACTCAGGTTCCCAGGAGCACAAAGAAGGCCAAGTTCCCCTTCAGCAATAGGTCTAAAGGCAGGGGCTCTGTTCGATTAATTTCACTGCTCCTGCCACAATCATGCTTTACATATATTAGCTCATTTGATCTTTGTTAACAGCTCTATAATACGTTGCAGTTAGGTACACTGAATTAATTTGAAATATGTTCAAATAGAAAGTTCAATAGTTGAGGGATGCTTGTTCATTTTATTTTGAGAGTCTGTTTTATAGTTTCGTTTCTAGGGACGTACGATGTTGTTCAAATGTGTATGCTCAGTGTGCACTCTCTAGCATGTCAGAGTCATGGAAGACTTGGGGACTCAATTCTAGGATCTGCTGGTTTTACTTGTCATCCCCAGGAAATGCTTCAGCACGGGGGTTTTTCTCTTAAACTTCCCCAGTCTTTCCCTACATCCGGCTTATAAACAGCAGATATATAGAAAGGGTTAAAAATTGTCGATGGTTATATTTGTTGCTGTCAGCTTCATGTTGGGCTCCACTGGTACCCCCAACTCGTCTGTATTTCAGGAAAAAACAAAATAGACACAGAGATCCCAAGCCCTAGGGGGATCAAGGAAAACTACAATGGAGATTTAGGCTACCTTTCATGATTACCTGTTGTTTCCCCTCTGGTGTACTCTTTTGTATTGGGAAAACTCAGTTGAATTGGATTATGTTGGGAAGGGTCAATTGCATTGGAATTTTTAAAAATATTTTTTAATATAATAGTATTCCATAAACAAAAAATACTCCATGAAAGCAGGAAATGTGGAGAAAATTTTGTAGCACAAATTGTTTTCTACTTCTATTGGATATGCTATTTAAATATATTTCATTGAATGTGCTTAATTTTTTTTTTTAATTGAGTTTATTACAGTGATGTTTGCCTTAGAGGGGAAAGATTTGGTCTCCACCTCTTGGTAGGAGATTTGTTTCTGTCTTGACAATCTAACATTTACTGTTGCAATGACATTGTACAATTGGATGAATATTCATTGTGGCAGAGTTAAGTAGGAATTGGAGGTCTCTATCAATTTTCTTAATTGTTTTCTAACTTCGGAGTAGAGGGAGGGCCCAAAATGCTGGGAAGCAGTTAACTGAGGAAACAATCCTACCAAAACATTGTGGGGGCTGATGGACGGTTTCAGCTTTTTCTTTAGAGACAAAACACTGTGGGAAGGACCCCTGGAGCCTAAGATTAAACCTTATTCAGAATTTGCTCCATTCCCCGTTTGTTGGCCCTTACCCCATGGATGTGTTAGGCACCAAGAATCCATTTTGATGGAAAGAATTTGGAGCCATTGAAGCTTACTTTGACACCAGCATTTACTCTGCCTTTCTTTCTACAGCTGTCTCCAACCTCGATGAGGAGAGTAGATGGACGGTCCACTACACTGCTCCGTGGCACCAGCAGGAGAATGTGTTCCTTCCCACCACAAGACCACCCTGTGTAGAGGACCTGCACCGCCAAGCCAAGCTTAACCTCAAATCAGTATTGAGGGGTAAGATTGCATCCTGCAAGCTTGCCGTTCTTGGATTACTGACTGTTAGAATGGAAAGCACAAATGTGATTGCGATTTGTAAAAGAAGATCTTTATATTTATAATGAACACATAGTATGCTGTTTTTTTGTTTTTTTTGTTTTTTTTTTTTTTAACAAGAGATCCTAACTAACTTCCAGCCTAATACATGCCTAATAGGTTCTGGTCTCTGTAGAAACCTGCCAGTTTACAGACATGCAAATCTGTCCTCACAGAGCCCACCCCTGCTTAGAAACTCTTCAGCATGTTCAAACCACCAGTACTAATGTAATCCAAATAAACCCCTGCTGACATGCGGCATTTTGCTACTGCCTTTTTTAAACCATTGTAGGTATTCAGGGCAAATTTGTTAAAGCTAATACTTTATAATGGTTTGTTCTGTTTAGTTCAAGTTGGGTGGACAGGGGACCTATATATAGACTTTGAAAGAGTTGAAAATGGTTTGTTTTATCAGGAGTTGGGCAGCACCCAACTGCTCTCCTATAAAGTGTAGGTTCTGCAACAGATGGGCAGAATACATGGTGGTCAGTAGGAAATATAGGAAGAGTATCCTCCTATATCTAGTTTAAAAGTTTCCTTTTTACTTCAATTTACTGTGGATGTTAAGAAGTGTAAATATATGGCAAGGAAAGGGCTTCTTAAAAGTGGTAAAGAAGTTCTTTAAAAGAGGAAGGAATGTCTTTTAAGATTCAGAGACTTTTTCCTTAAAAAAGCAAACTAATGTTCTTATTCTACTAGATGCTGCTGCCTCTACCAGTTTTCTCCTCCCAGGCAATATTTGGGACATCGTTTTATTTAAAAAGTGCTTGTTGTTGGGGCGCCTGGCTGGCTCAGTCAGAGGATCATGTGACTCTTGATCTCAGGGTCTTGAGTTCAAGCCCCACGTTGGGTGTAGACATCACTTAAAAAAAACAAAAACTTAAAAAGTACTTGTTGTTTTGTTATTTATCGGAAATTGAAATTTAATTTAACTGGGTGTCCTGCATCTTATCTAATTGTGAAAGACTTAAATCTAGAAGAAATCTGTTATTGATTCAAGGAAAACCCAGCATGAGGACCCCAACTAATATTTATTAAACACTTGTCTATATGCCAGATTCAGTTCTAAGCCCATTACTTGTATTATATCGTTTAATCCCCACAATAATCCTGTTTACTATTATTATGCAAATTTTCTAGGTGGTGAAACAGACGCACAGATCAGAAACTTCTGAGATCTCCAAGTTAGTTAATGGTAGAACCAGGATTTAAACATGGACAGTCGGAGGCTTCCGAGCCCTTATTCTTAACTGCTACATTATATTGCCTTTAACATTTGTTGGAAATCTTTTATTCTGGCAGAAGTGCAGGCTACAAAGGCTGGATCTTGGCTCTCATGGAATTTCTACGTATTTCTACAGTAAAAATCACAATGTGAAAAATTCTCGAGAGATGTGCCAAAAATTGCTGTATAGGAGTTAGAGAAAGCAGATAATTTCTGCTTTGAAAAAGAAGGAATAACTATCAGTAGACTCACAATAGATTTGGTATTCTGAACAGAACTATACAAACATTTAAATGATAGTCTTATTTTGTCTTCCCTGTAATGCTTAGATTATCTCATGTATCTTACAGTATCTCATATCCTACAGTCTTGGCTTTGGACTGTCCAGAGCTGAGGTTATTGGGTCCCCCTTTTCATGTAGCCTGCCTAAGCTATATATTTAGTGACCATAAGCTTAAATGAAAAGAATTGCATTAGTTGGGCTCTTCTGTATGGCATTAGTACTTGGACCTTTGTTGCCTTCATGATGTACCTAAATCCAACTAAAATTTCTTCTACGTCCGTTTCTTACCTAGCGATTTATCTTCAGTACATTTCAACCAAGAGCTTCTCTCCTTATAGCTCACCTTCTTCCACCAAATAATTAATAAGAATATTAAATGGCACAGTTCCCAGGACAAACCCCAGAGGCAGTGCCATTGTTAACATTTCTCTCTGAGCTATGAACAACAGAGCTCTGCATGGTCTGGCTTGTAGAGAATGCTGTCAGGAAGGTACGTGTGAGTTTGAGTATTCAGGCCTGGCTGTTTTTTGATCACTCTCCAGGAAATTGTGCTTCACTGCCTCTTTCATGTATTTGCAAGTATCAGATCAGAGCTTCTCTTTTCTTCCCTGAGAAAATTGAACATCTATATATAGATTTTTCTGATTTTATTTTCCTTTTGATTATTCAGTAGATCCATGTGAAATATCATCACCACTGGTTTTGCCTACACTTGAATTTTATTTTGAGAAGGTAAATGCTTTAGCAGTTGCTCTCATGTCCTAAAATGCCTCATTGAAGGGATTTACTATTAATAAGTTAATAACTTTGGAAAGTTCTTGGAGCTCAACTTTTGAAGTCTGGATTTAAATACTCCTGAAGAGATTTTTAGATAAATAATAACTTTTAAAACAGAAATTAAGGAAGATGAAATGAGAAAGAGCATCTGAGTCGTTTTCCACTTCATTTATTTATTTTTAATCACATGCACAGAACTTCACATCCCACACTTGCCATACACCATGTTCGCAACCTGAGTTAATAAACACAAGTGCAGAGCATTTATTACCTCATTATCAGTGAAGACTAAAAAGAAAAAATTCAGTCCCTGAATATATGGCACTATTAAGGTATGATGTTATATAAAGGTATCAGTTTAAGTTAATTTGCCCTCAATGTTATTTGCTTAAAAATATAGAAAGGTAGCTAGTTATTCACAATGAGTAATCTGTTCTGTTCCTTCTCTTTTTACTGTGACCTTATCCATAATTTTAAGGAAGGAATACTGTTCTTTAATGTTAAATAGGTGGTGTTTTTTCATAATCATTAAATGCTCATCGTGTAAGTTCTTCTGTCAGGTTTTAGGGGAGCTCATCTGTCCTCTTGAGGATCATAAAATATGGAGGGAAATGATACAATGAGTACTAGTTAAATTAATAACTAAGTGTTGTAAACATTTGCTTATTAAAGTAATGCAGAAGTGCTTAAGGTCAGTAGAGTGAGGAAGGCATGGGTTTACTAAAAAATGTTTTTATGAAAAAGCTAAGTTTGAGTTAGCACATAAAGACAGATAATAGACTCAATTTAATAAGCATTTGAGCATCAGTTCTGTACTATGTCAAGAGTTTTTTGTTGTTTGTTTGCTTTTGTTTTCTTGGGGGGCGGATACCAGGAGTTTTTAAATGAACTAATAAAAGTTCATGGTCCCTAACTTTAAAGAGCTGAGCTTGCTACTTTGTGTCAAGATTGAAGTAAAAAGACAATGGTGTAATGGAGATGTGTATGATGTATAGTGGGCAGGTAGAGAGCTCAGTCAGCTGGAAAAGAAAAGCATTGGGAGACCCCCCCCACTTGCCCATGCTCTCATCCCTTCATTAAAGAGGAGGTGGGCACCGTGTGGCATATGGAATGCCTGCAGCAGGGGTCTTTTATGTGCAAGGCTACACTATTCTGGTCCAGGTAGAGCAGAGATCTTTTGTATTTGTTGTTGGCTAATGTCTGGAGAATTTGATAGAATTTGGTGACCATGCTCTTAGACCAAATGACTTGATTTTGTTGATGTAGGTGCTGATTTACTGCTAATGACAATACAAACATGTACCTAGATTTAGAAATAGTATTTTGATATTTTGCTCAACAGGACATCTGGCTGGCAGTGAATAGTTAATTTCTGAAGATGGATCCCATTATCTTTTAACTGAATTTCCTGAAGAATTCTGCCCTTTTAATCTCCATAGTTGTTTGAGCCATTCATGAACTTCATCTGAGTTAGATGTGATGATGGGTAACCTTTATCTAACTAAATACCTATCTAGATAATTTTTAGCATTAGTCAAAGGGCCACATTAAATGGGAAAAGGGAAGTTGAGGGATGGGGGTGGGCACAGTTAGGCTGAATGAAAGGTTCAGATTTTATTTCTTCAGAACTGTAGACCTCATTCGACAATGATGAGCATATTGAAGGCTGAAATAAAGATATGTTATTTTCAAGGTTCCCTTCCCCAAAAGCCCAACCTGGGAGAGAAAAACACAATTTCTCACAGTATATTTAACAGGCAATTTAGTTACTGTGTCCATGTCCACTCCTGCCAGAATTAGTTCACAGAGCATCTGTTGTATCGAAAATGTTCTCTAGTCACAGCTATCCTTCCTGAAGAAATACATTTTAGCAGGTCAGCCCGCTCTCTGGCTCTAGAATTAGAAGTGTGAACACAGGGAGGAATGGTGAATCTGGCCTGTGTTAATTCACAGTCAGTGCGTTATATTTATTACAGGAATTGAGGATTTACAATGTGAAGAAATGACTGTTTCTACCAACCGGTTAAAAACAGCAGTTTTTGTGTGTGTGTGTGCATGTATGCTCACCAACCTGTTTGATGCTGGAGAATGGTATACCTTTCTTAAAATTATGGACAAGGTTTCCAAGTAGTTTCAGCCAGGTTCCTTTGACGGTTCCTGACATACTGACTTTATCTAAGGGTCACTGCATCTACCTTTTATGTCAAGAAGGCTCCTAGTTCACCGTTGGCTTAGACAGATAAGTCTGTTCTGGGGAAGGTTGCAGGATTCTCTCTGGATTTGATGAGGTGACTTGGCTACCTTATCTATCTGCCTTGGGCACATGGGTCCTGTGGTTTTGGCTGTAGATGCTCCTCTTGGGGGTCCTGTGGCACTTTTCACAGGACTGTTTGGGAGATGCCTTTGTAGGTATGACCTTGTGGATGTTGACCGAGAGCTCTCTCTCCTGGAATGATCTATCTGCAAACTGCCTCGGATATACTCGAGATGAACATCTGCTTTGCCCACCTGTGCTAAAACATTGAATTCTTTTTCTTTTTCGTCACTTTTTAAAAATTATGATATATAACACAGATACCTAAGACATTGTACATTTTAATAAGTAATTATAAAGCAGATATCAATAGAACCATTATC